TGTAGGTACAATGAGATCTTGGCCAGTTATATTTTTATACTATATGACCGTGTAGATTGGATGAACAATAATATTATTAACGTACACTAAAGGGAGCGTCATTTCAAATTGATCATTTGGCAATACGGCTACGTTGCAAAGACTATTTAGCAAAGTGCACAATAAGTCGTTAAGTATAACTATCGTTTGATGACTGATTAAGGATATGAAGCGGAACGCAAAATATTCCGTTGATACTTATAGTACAATGTTAATTATTCCACGCTTAGGCCTAAGAGTCATCAATTGTTCATGTACAATCAAGTCATTGGATAATATACCAAAGAAAATAGTATCAAAAACATGTGACATTTGAATAATGAGTTTTGAATTACTAGTTAGTAGTTAGTGTCAGTATTACAAAAATTCGAAACGCCGCCTTAGCCTATGTTAAAATTATTGCTACTCGCCCATGTTTTGAGCACTATGTATCATCGTTACATGAATTCAATTTTTACATTGGCAGGTCTTGTATTTTAAGCTTCAATTAATTTTTATGCGTTTATTATCTATCATACTGAGATAAAACTATACTTTACAGTTATTTCATAAAGTATCGATTGCCCAAAGGGACAGACAGCTCAGTCATTGACAATCGATATTTTATTACGAAGGTTTTAAAGAAACGACACAAATGTTCGAAAATGGCGTGTATGAAAACATCCGCAATAGCAATAATTATCGGCAGAGGTCGGCGTGCGCAGCCGCAGCGCGCATAAAAAGTAAAAACAAATCATAAAACCTGTTGTATTGTTCTTTCGCAAGAGACGACCTCCGCCGAACGCTGTGATAAGGAACGAGTCATTTCTATGGATTTTCTAACACGTGTCGTGTCCTACAACTTGTAACACAGACATTAGATTTAATTGAATTTAATGATCAGTGATTGTGATAAATTTTGTAAATTACACTTGTATGTGTAATAGGTATCTTTATATAAAACTAAGTATCCGATTTATACACATACACACACATGATTATAAATTTACAAAATGGCAAACTGTCATATAAATTAACTATGAAAGGATTTGTGTAATGATATCGTAAAATCTTTAAAGGATTTCCTTTAAATTTTTCAAAAAAGTTCTCAGACAAATCAGTATGACCAAATATGTATTTCAGAATGATTTGTCTACCCGTGTTTCAATTGTGAGATTTTCTAACAATCATAATTCAAATGGCAAAAAGTTTCCTCCTTATACGGTGTATCTTAATTTTTTTATGTTGCGGGCTATTTTTTAGTATAACTAAAGTGACTGCGATGCAATCCATCGCCCTAATTTTTTTAATATTACTGTTTATTCGTATCCTTACAAGGTACCCTAAAATTACAATGTGATATATATTATTTTTTAATTATCAAATCTTTTTATACACTTGGTATATTAAGTAAACATCTTTGCTTGAATATTTTTATAGAAACAATATGCACGAGAGCAAAAAAAAAATAGGTTTTTTAGCATTTTGGGGTAATACATTTACATACGAATACTTATCTAATTATTTCCATTACCAATAATAAACACCATTCTGGTCTGGATGAAATGCAGCCAAAGTTTTACGTGACGATTTAAATGGCGTAATATATATTTTACTAGAAAGTGAGTTAATAGATGAAGAAAAATAAACAACCTAATTTAACGGAACTGAGAGACGTCACGAAACGGAACCTAAATTGTTGCGTTCGACACAGTGAAAGTGAAATAGTAATTGTTATTATACAATTTTTACATATTAATATTAATAATACTACTCATATTAATGAATCATTAAAGTTCATAAAGTGGTAGCAATGAAATGTTTTAACATAGGTATTTATATTGCCGGACCTTTTTAAAATTTATCATTAGGTGTCTAATTGTTTGTATCATAGAATATTTCTATTATTAAATATAAATAATATATTAAGGATAAAATTATCCAGTTACTTTTCATTCCAAAGGCGTTTCCTTTCAGTTTCCAAGGCCGAATCTGTATGCATGATGAGGCGGCATCACGAAACTTCACTTTTAACACCATTCTATGATAAAATTGTAACCAATGCCCTATTTATCTAATAGATAGTATGTCGTATTTCTAAAACTCACATGAAAAAGCACTCAATAGACAATGTCAAGAAACTGATTGTCAATAATAACTAATAATTGAATTACATATCCCTATCAAAAAATTTAATCAATTCGATTTCGATGCATTACAGAACTGTGTACTATTTACGTGTTTATTTTGGTTTGATTTTACTCACTTATATACACTTTACTATTCCTTCCAAAGGTATAAGCACAAATGTGAGTAAAAAATATTTATTTGTATATAATTAATTAATCAAACAATCAGAAATAATCAATGGACAATCATCTAAAATTATCTATAGCGACTTGAAATTACTGATACTCGTTATCAGAAGTATATGAGTACTTATAATCATCATAAACCTATGATAAAAATAATTTAAAAAACATATAATAAATTCAACTGTACCAATTTGACAAGCTAAAATAATGATAAAGATGTACTACTAACAGTGAAAGTCAAACGAGCAAAGGCTACAATTGTTTAATAAATTGATACACCCTAAGAACGCTGACAATATTAATTTTCATGTCAACAAGATTTCAGATGAACAAAACAAGAAAATATTTCAATGTGAAATGCGTTTGTTTCTTCCATAAAGCGGTTGTACATTCGTTGGTTACAATAGCCGTGTTGATGATCATTTACAACAACACTTGTGTTTTCAGAATACATAAGGTAATTATGTTAACCACGAATTAATAGGCATTCAAATCGAAAAGTAATAACAGTGTGATGTTGTTTTGTAAAGTTAAAATAGAAATCTACAAAATATCACTTAATGATATGAGTCATTCAAAACTACTATTATGAATTACATTGTATAACTCAATTTGTCATTATTTTATTTTAGTATAAAGATTATTACGGTGAATTTCCAATTGAATCAAACAAATAAAACAAAACGATGTTCATGTTACGTTAACACCATAATAGTTTCAGTGTTATCCAGTTAACTAAGTACTCATCAGCATAGAAGAACTGGCAAAAAAAACTCGACCTGCGCTTTTTCATATCAGTAACATTATAATCAATTGATTTGACTTATGTCATAAACAACTGATATGCCGATGACTGTGGCGACACCTCGCGGCGTGGAGTTACAAAATATAACGCTTATGACACATTACAATATGTAAAACACACGCACTATGAACCGCATGTAGGATTACCTGTATTATGAGAATCTAGATAAACAATACTGAAGTAAGAATTTAGAACAAAGTACAGTGTTGGAACTAGCTATCAAGATGGATGATTGTGAAGAATACAATATCGTTCAGAGTTTATATAAAAGATATACTTTTATTGTACAATTAAAAACAAGTCCATATAGATGAGAATTCCTTGAAGAGAAAGGGCAACAGTGCCATTACATAAAACAAATACTTAACTGTGTTGGTTTTCCAAGTTGTATAATTATTAGGCACACTACTATGAGTGGTTGGAAAACATCGAAACTTATAAAACATATTATTCTAATGATGTAATTGTAGTGACCCTCAAGGTTCAACCAGTGAAACGCCGACATCCAACACATCCGATTTCCCAGCTCCGCTATCCGTTTTACATTTCTCAATCTGAAAACGCAGCTATCATTGTTTATCAACTATATTGCCGCAGTGAGATTATATCAATTACTATTTAGTAGCAGTATGTTTTGAAATCCTTTGTTAGAGACAGTTACGATATAACCCTATGTTGTTAATACGCAAAAATATAAATAAATCATCTATATGCTAATTATTCATGAGGGTTAAGGAAGAACACAAAATCACGAACACACAGTATTTCAAAAATTCAAAGCACAGTCGCTTCCGATTGTTCGACGGTTGAATATTGTAGCATCACCTTCGCGACGTGTTACTTCCTGCGGCGGGTTACAATTGCCGAAGTGCTGAGGAAGTCAGCGGCCGCCGGTGCAGCGACCGACCGCAGACTCGTAGCCTTGGACGCGAGCTCCCTGCATTCTAATCGGACGGCCTTGCGGAAGCGCGTGCCTCAGGCCCGATCTCGTAACACGGCTCAACCGGCGTCTTATCAATAACAGTACCAGTACGTATTCGAGATTTACTATTCTTATCTATTTTAATGCACGTAATAGTCTATCCAAGTACGGTTTGATTAAAGATATAATTGAACGAATAGACTTTAAATATAATAATAATCTTCTCAAATACGTCTCAATACGTATTTGGTATTCATGTTAGTACAAAGTTTTACATGTTGGACTTATTTCCTAATGGCATTCTCTATCAGAAACCGTTGTACTGTACAGAGAAACAGCGGTGCATTAACCCAATGTCAATATTACGGGTATTGTGGTTATTTGTTAAAAAAAAACGTATGAAGATAATATGGTCTACCAATGTAAGATACATAGGAAGTGTTAAGAAAATGGTATAATAAAATGTAGGCATAAATGTGACAAAAATTTCGTATAAAATGGATAGTCATGGATGGCTATTCGTTGATAACCGATAATCATTTACACATAGTAAAATTAACTAGATTATCAGTTTTATTAAGCGGACTAGCAACTACAAGCTGTAATTATTGGTTTATAAACAAAATATATATTTTTTACTTTATAATAATAAATAACCCTGGACAATTAACACAGCGCCATCTAGTCTCACAGTAAGCAGAGCTAGTGTTATGGGTACTAGACAACTGATATAAAGACTTAGATATTTATTTGTATATACGTAAGTACATAATATACATAGAAAATGCTCAGATCGATACAAACAATGGTACTCATGAATACAAATATTTATGTCGTGCGAGGAATCGAACCCGCAACCATCGGAAGTAAAGCCGTGTGCTAAATTGCTCGACCACCAAGGCCGTCGTACTATTTTCTAGCTTTAGAAATAACTACTCACGGCATGCTGTTGAGTTTCATATATGTTTCAAGCGGCAGGGATTCTACGTTTTTACTATTTATATTAGTGCCTGATAGTCGCCGGGCAGTTCTCATCCAACTTCCTCTTTGTCTTCTAAATCCTTTATCATTTTTTAAAAGTTGCAGGTGTCGTTTTACAATGTCGTGCCATTTCCATTTAACTGTAGCTGGGGAATCGCTGGCTGCATCTTCCTTACATATTTGTAATCCATCACTGAATCGCCTCATATTTTGGAGATATATTTCATTTGATTTCGGGGGAAGACTCTTTCTTCTCTCATCTGCAACTATGCCCGAATCTTGAGAATTTTGTTCTGCTATCCATTTTGTTATAAAATCATTTTTATCACAGACTTGCGTTATCACTGGCTCTTCTTTGGGTGGTGGTGGTATCCAATCGAAACTCAACCACTGACTAGATTTAGGTTTAGATTTAAAAATAACATCTACCTCATCATAGTCCGAGGAGCCAATCGAACATACAGAGGTTTTCTTTCTTGGAAATCTAGAACGAATAGACCTACAAGCCGGTGATGGTTCAGGGGTTACACCATCATCTGCCACTTCTTCTTTTCTTACATCCTGCAAACTCTTAAAGCAATCGATATTAACATAAGAGTTTTCGGAGCACGAAGAATCAACACTGATTCTAGGGGTAGTTCTGTGTGATAATTTAGATCTAACAACTATATCTTCGGTATAACTTTCGATCATTCCACCACCAGTCTCTCGTTCATTTGTAAGAGATATTCTCCTTTCATTCGATATTTCGTTTTCCATTTCTATTATCTTTGTCATACTAGGAAAAGAGACTTCTTTTTCCAATTCAATTATTTTACTTAATCGTTGAGAACATTCTTTATCCACGTCTCCATTAGTAATTGTTGTGAATGAATTGTCTTCATTTAATTCTATTATTCTGGTAATCCTCTGCGGTGCTTCATTTTCTACATCAGTATTGCACACTGATTTTGTTTTATTATTTTCGAATTCAATTATTCTTGTTATCCTTTGTAGTGCCTCTTTTTCAAATTCATTATTCCGTACATTAGGATTTATATCATCTAATTCAATTATTCTTGTTATTCGTTGTGTAAACGTATTAATAAATTCATTTTCAACTCCAAGATGGGGGTCCTCAGACTTCATATCTAATGACTTTGATTTTTTATCTAATTCTAAATAACTTTTGGTAGTAGACGATGCATTACAATTATTAAATAATACCTTTTCATCTAAAGAATTACTGCGGCTTTTTGCTTTCTGTAAAGCTTTTTCCGTAACAAAAACACAAGGTACTTCCACTTGCATTGACATTTTACGTCGTCTTGTAGAATTTTCTTTTTCTTGATTAAGATCATTGTCTATATCTTCATGAATTTCTGTATGCGGTAAAACAATACGGGTTCCAGCAACCATACGTAAAAAGTCTGTCACTGCTGCTATATGAGCTCCTGTAACAGCTCCTTGCAATTTTACACCAGAAACTTGGTGAGGCACTAATTGATTATCTCGTACACACCAAACTACGGGCAGAGCCCCTTCTGACACCATCGTCGGCGATTGGTATCAGTATTTGTTAAGTTTATTGACCTATTATTAAAATGAATAAATTTATTTCACTATGTTTGTGTACTACAAATCACTGAGGCATTTCAGGGCTATATCGTAAGCAAAAAAAGTAAACGAAAACACAATTTCGTCGGGATGGCGGCATAGCGCGAGTTCGGTGCGGGTGTCGTAAAGCGGAGCGCGGCGAGCGTGCGCGTCCGGCGGAGGTCGCGAGAGATAAGGCGGTGAGAGTCGTAAGCGCACCACTGCCGCCCGCCGCACACCCCGCCAATGCGCGGCACATCTTCGATCATACATCAATTCTCATCCGATGTTCTCCGCGGGCGAATTATGTAACGGTATGGATGACCTATTTTACTGTTAACGATTTTTCCGGATCATAATTTAAAGAATCTATAAGGCTATATATTGATTCGATATTAATGGAAATTATTATGTTAATAATAATTTTAGTTTATTCGGTTAACAAATATAACAAAAGGTTGTCAAATCATATAAAAATCTATTGTAGTTAAATGATATGATAATTGTTTTAGTACTAACTATACTAAAACAATTATTTATACTAATTTCAGTTAGGTATTTATTTGTCAAACATTTTTTTATAAACTTATAAAAAGTTTCCATTTGCATAAACTATGCAAGGACTTGAATTCACGGTAAATTTATTTCACGGTAAACTTATTTCTAACAAAGAATAGTGTTTTACACTAAATTAGTAAAAACACATATACAACACACGTTTTAGATTTGTCGGTGATTAATAACTAATCATTATTGCATTACATATATGTAGATGGTTGGCTGGTGTAAATAGACAGACCAGTTAAAAGCTATACGTTATCCTGTCTCATCTCAGGTCATCCTGTCAGTTACAGTTAGTTCGTTTTGTTGTCCCTATTTGTGTCGGGGCGGTCCATCAGCCACGCTTCATGCTTCGTGCCACTCACCGTTGCAATATTGTAAGATTTGTGAGACGACTACATGCATGTTAGTGCATTTCAACAAATTCAACAGGCGTATCAGTACCCATTTGCAGGAATCCATTTAGGACATATTTACGTGAGTATTTTAAAGAATTTAAGAACAACACTTTATTACATGCAGGTAACAAGGCTGAAGTATAACTAATAATTTTATTCGTTTACAAGTATACCCATATTAGTAATGAATAAAATTATTAAAGTTATTCGTTTAAGTTACAAAATCACATTAATGAATTTTAAGACGTAGTAAAATATATTCCTAATATTATGACCACACTGTGATAAGATTAAATTAAATGCTAACTTAGTAATCAACCAGCGGCTGTAGGAGTCATGAATCAATTAAGATAACGAAGACAGGTCCTGTGAGCATTGGCGATAAATGAAAAATAATAAAACGTTAGTATTTGTACGTACATGCACTAAACCATCTATATGCGCAAATGCAAATAGACAGTTAGCAATGGCGCCAGCGCAGCTTGCAATGCGCGATCCGTATCTGGGACGGACAAATCAGGTATTAATTATTCGTATGAGCCTTAATGGAGCCTAAGTTGAGATATATTAGGGATCGATACATTAATTATAAAACAATAAGTATAGAATTATTATATACGAACGAATAATATTGGCATATTTATGGATGACAATTAGTGACTTATATGTAGGTAACCTTATGGTGCTTTAGGCAGTGATAATATTTTTTTTTACTAAATTGTTTTTTAGTATAGCTTCTGGAAGCCATAAAACCAATTGTTTAAATTGTCGTAAAACATAACATGTAATATAGCATATACCAGTGCCATTACTAATAATATAAGTAAGTACTACTATTATTTGGGCAAATTATTAAAATTGTTTGAAATACATTATCTTTTAAATAATTTGCCTAGACTGCTTTATAAACTATTTATCTTCACATCAATTCCATTATAAGATAAAAGAAAAATTGAAATTCTAGATACAATAAACTTCTAAACTACATAAATCAGATTCAAATCGGAAAATACTGGTATAAAGAGATAATAGTAGATATTATTACACAATAGAATGATTGTGCAATCAACTATCATCGCGATAAATCAACTAATGAAACAACGACCAGAAAAGTGTGTAGGGTTTCAAATATTCAGCTTTTAAATTGTTTTTGTATTTTGATTTATGTAGAATTTTTATGGCTACAGTAAAATTAAAATACTCGGAATATACAATATAATATTTGTAAGGCTCTATGAAAACATTGGTAAATTTACATTAGTTGTAAAATAGAATAAAATGACCAGCCAGCTGCTTTATATGAAATAAACAATATTTACGGTTCTTCGTAATGAGAATTATTCAAGTTAATATACTAATTCTTTGTTTATTTTTAGCATATATCAATATGTGGGGTGTCAAATAGGCGGTACCTATCTTGTGGCAAGTATTGGATAACTGTGAACCGATTTGACAATTCCTCTTTAACAATAGAAGCTTATTTCGTGTTGATTATTGTAATAAGACTAAAATAAAATTTTTAATAATTCGTCAAGAACAATATTGTGTATGTGTGGTTAGGTTGGCGTGTTGATATACAGAAGGAGTGATATTAATAAAAGATTGAATATATGACGGTGTATATAATATCAGATATAAAAATAACAAGTAATAATTAATTTAACAACTCATTTAGATCAGTAATTTGCAAGCGAATGAATTTGACATTTTGACAATATACTTTTTATTAAAATGTGTCTGTGTTATATGGCTAGTTTATGCAAGGAGGTTGGTAGCCTACATATGTGTTAAAAAGTTAGCTTGTACTTTACATGCATATGGCTATTTTCTTTATATAAAGTAAAAAGAAAACCTAAAAATATACAATATAAAACGTTAGAGTGAAGGGGTTTTATATTATTTAAACGCAAGGAAATGTTCCATAGAAGAAATATATCAATTTTCGGATGAAAACAAAACAATTCATAAAAAGTTCCTTATACCGATAGAGATAGTAGAGTCAGTTTATTCAATTCCGCCCAATCAATTTCACTGTTAGAAAATGGAGGAACCTTCAATGATAATTTTTTTATTATGTTTATTAGTAACCAAGGCATAGATGCACAATAAGGCAAGATTGGTGATGCATGAATATAACAGCCGAGGACGATAACTGATAAACAAACTCTCATTTCAATTTCCGAGAATAGCTTTCTGTTAAATACGTAAAAACCCAAGTGCAAAGTTAAAATTAAGTAAGTTTATATACATTTTTTGGTTATTAGAAATCGGATTCAAGAAGTTGCAGATATTTAAAATAATAGAAAGTTCCATGCTTTAAACCATCGCAGCAAAAAGAGAGGTGTTATAAATTGGAGACTTTTGTCTGTCTGTGAGCTAGACGGATCAACGGATTCAATGAGGTACTTTATTTAAATACATTCGCAGTTAGTTATGTGGAAATCAATTTACATCCAACAGTATATAACATATAATATAATGTTTCTGGGTAACTATTACTGTTAGACTATACATACTGTTCTCAAAATATTTTATATTCAGGGTTAGATGAAATCATCAGAGTCCGTGCTTTACTTGGCAGAGATAAGCATAAACATAGTTTTTATTAGTTATGATTTGAGATCGCATGAGAGTGGCCACATACAAATACTACGGTCTCTGAAGTTAGCTGACACAGATAACACAAATGTTATGTTTGTTATTTAACTAAACGGTATAAAAACAGTATTCATAATTTTTACTTTTGAAAAGATTTAGCAACAAAGATTATTATTTATTTATTTAATAATAATATAATTAAACTAATATATTCCCTTTATAGGGTTTTATAGCATAACACTGCCCGACAGCATTCATGTGATCATATATCATTTAGAAGATAAGTAATAATTATATAAAAAAGGTTCAGAATTGACAAATACATAGAAGTAGTTATTAAAAGCACAATGAAATGGTGATGGTTTCATCCTTTTTACAAATAGTTGAAAAGGACCTTTGTCATTTTGTTTGTTGCCTTTCAGGTTCTCCCAATAATTTCAATAAACACTATCCTTTATCCTTGTACAGAAAAAAAAACAAACTGATAAAATCTGGTACATTAGATTAATTTGACTTTCTAGCTCTCTAATATCATAATATCTTAATCTATTTTCGTAAGTCAAAATGTCATATAAAGTTAATGTTTGTCGAAATGTCCTCTTCTAAAAATTTACGATTGGTATTCCTGGTTAACACCCGGTTCTAATTTATTGTAGGTCAAAATATTTTGAATAAATAGAGTTTAAACACCTTTAGAAACATGCACGTGAACGAGCGAGACGCGCACAGTTAGTGCGATAAATTACAACTAGAGCATGCAGTCTCATGTACAGGTAGGTCACCACGATAATCTGCAGGCACAATTAACAATGGCCATAGTCGAAATCTAGGCCTCAGTATATACAACAATATAGTACCTAACTAAAATGTTTGAATACGCCTCAATTGCTTTGACTATTTTTACTTATCTACTATTTAGTTAGAAGCCATAACTTCTGAAAGGACGTCCTCCTATATGGAACCCACTAAGACTATCAAATTAGTGGTAATTTGGTGGTTAGTGGGAGTAGCCGCTGGGAAGAACTATATTATTTACATATCCTTATAAGAAACTAAATTATAGTTACATAGTCAAAAAACTATTTTATTTAGAAACTTGAAATATCAATGGTGGCCTTATAAGTCGTATTTCGCTTAGTTTCATTATTTCATATTAGTAGTATAGCATAACCACATTAGGAAACACATTTGGCCTGCAGAATTAATGTGTATTTTTTTATATTAAAGACGGACAGACAGACATTAACAAATTTGACGGATTACGTTTATATTACTGCTAAAGAGACTCTTTCTCTTACGCTCGTATTACAAGACAAAAAGCAGTTTGCAATTAATCTGGAAACAGGTGAACTGATTTCTGCTAAACATGGGTAAAATTAACCCCATTAAACAAGCTTTCAACAGCTTAAACAAACATCATAAAATTTACCATAGAAGTCAACTCTAGTATCAAGTAATACTTTTTTTCTGATAAATCATTATGTTGTCGTCAAGCAAAGTCGCAGTCACTGCTAGTAGGTACCTCAATAAATTGATAATAGATATGCCATTATGTAATAAGCCCCATAATAAATAATACAAGCAAATATTATTCACAGATGTGCAAATTCCAACTATAAGTTCAGGG